ATGTACCTTGGAGTTTAATCCCAGCTGCCATGGAAATCCCCCACCCCTCCTCTACAGCATCAGCCAGCTGGCTGGGGGCATTCTGAAGGATTGCTTTCCAGTTTCTCTCATTGCTTCTGCACCCCAGCTTACTCCATCACAGAGCACGGAGCCCTGCTTGCCTGCTTGTCAACTGTGGGAGCAAACCTAGCTTTTCTTTCTTCCTTGCTTCTTTATTCATTCACCCATTCTCCCCTGCCTGTTTGCCCTATTTAGCTCTATTTAATCTCCAGAGCTTCCCTGTTGGCCAAACCAGCAGCTCCTACCATGGAAAAGTATTCTTACCTAAGATTCTCTTCTTTAGAGAAGGAATGATAGTAAAATCCTCTCCAGTTTCCGAAGCTTTCTCAAGAGAAAGCAGAAAGAACTCTTCTGCAGGAGTCTACAAGGTGCACTTAGTGTTTCTCTTTTTGAATCCCTAGTATCAAGGGGGCTAGAAGAGTCTCTTCATGAAACAGTGCCGTGCAAGCTAAAAGAAAGCCAATAAAGGTGACAACCAATGATGGACACACTCTCAGAGCAGAGGGGACCTCAGCAAGTGACTCTTAGCTTTCAATGTGTGATGGATCACAGGGCAGCACATTGTTGGCCATGCAATTCTACAAGTTCTCAGCTGACACCAGTGTCACTAGTACAGGGACCACATTCTGAGTGGCAAGGTCAGGGGGCTCCCAACCTGCTGTAGTACTGGACACTTCAGACTTTCACAGTCCTAGCTGTCCTAATGCAGTAGTCATTAGCTGGGTGTGTTCACTGAGGAATTGACACGTGAGCAGTGCATGAAACAATTCCCTTTGTGGCAGCGGCAGTGTGTGTAGTATATATGATAAGTGTATGCGGGTACATGTATGTATCCATGCACTCTAGTGCAGGCTACTTGACATGTCTGATTCCGATTCCCTCCATTTCATTTTAAGTTCATGAGTGTCTCACTGAACCTGGGACTCACTGCTAGACTGGCTGCCCAGGTAGTCTCAGAGATCTATCTGCCTGTGTCTACTTTCCTTAACACTGGAAGTACAGGCATGCCTGGATTTTCACGGGGGTGCTGGGAATTGAACTCATGTCATTATGTTTGACAACAAGTGCTCTCAATCCTCTGAACCATCTCTCCAGCCTACGGAGATTGCTTTTAGCTTTAATTTTACTTCACTTATATTTACATGTCTGCATGTGCCAAGTGGCTACTACATTGTAGAACTGAAAACTAAGACAGAGACTGAGCACTATGGCCTCAGAAAAGGAAGTCCCCCAGCAAGGGGAACTCCCTGTGCTGTCACCCATATTATAAATTTGTTCTTGTCCACACCTGCCTCCTTCCTGTTCTTGTCAGTGTGGCTCAAGGCTTTCTCCCTGCTTTCATACAAGTTCCCAGAATCACTGTATATACAAAATGGCAATTAAGGAAAACTCTATAAACATCCCAAAGTGCAGAAGACTATCTCGTTTACTTAAACCTCTTGGACTTGGCAAAACCAAGCAAGAAACCTTGGGGGAAACAGAACGTTTGTTACGAGCTGTTCAACCTCAGAGTCTGTCTGGCAGGGTTCTGAAGCCAGGATCCGAGGTCGCAGTGCTGTGGGTTTTGGTTCTTGGGCCTGGACACAAGGGACAGATGGAGGCAGTGGATGAAGAAGAGAATAGCAAAAGAAAAAAAAAAGGCACTCAGTGCAAAACAAGTCCCCCCGACATATGAGAACACTGTGACAGTAGTGAAAAGGTTGGGCTTGGTTGGTTTGTCTAAACTGGAATCAGCAGCTTACAAGTTTGTGTTACAGTTAACGAGATTTGGAGATGTTCCCTGGGCTAGTGACTACTCATTTCCATTGAGGAAAAAAGTTATGAGGCTTGGATGTCTTAATGATAACAGATAATTTCTCTGTGTGGGCAGAGCTACAAAGCGTGTTGCTATGAAACTGTATGGATTGGGCACTTTCTTTTGCGTACACAGTTTGCCCTCAAAGAATCCACTTGGCATGAGTTCCAAACCTGCTTGGGGACTCTTGTGATTAATTGCTTAAGCTGGCTGGTGGCCATCAGCGGGACCTTGCAATTTACCAGTTTCCTCGCGGAATCATGAAGCTGAAGGTTTAATGGAATTTCAGGTAACAGAGCCCAGATGTCCAAAAGTATGATGCTTGAGATTTCACCAATTTGCAAGACTACAGAGCTTAAACCTTACTTATTTCTGGCTTAGATGGGTCCTTCCCATCTTTACGTAATCGTGGACCAATCAAATGCAAAGGCCTTCACCTTGACATACATATCCAGAGAAGTCATTCACACACACGCACTCACGCACACACGCACGCACGCATGCCCGCACCTGCAGCCAGTAGTTCAGACACAAGCTCCCTGTCTTGCAGTCCGGGCTCTTGAGGGCAGCTTTCTGCTAAGGATATGGCAGTTAGCAGCTCTCGTCCCATCTTACTATGCTTTCACACATTTAATTGCCTTTCAGTCTGTCAGGGGCCAAAGGAAATGGGCTGGGACTAGTATTATTGTATCTATGCAGATGAGGAAGCCAGGGTACACAGAAGAGAAGGGACAATAGCAACTCACATTTGTGGCACAGTGTCACATAAGAAGTACTGTTTCAATGGGGTTCATGTGAGTCCTTTCTTTGAAACCTCATCACAGCCTGGGGGTTGATATGATTAGCGGCTCCACTTTGAACCGGGAGAACTCAAGAACAGAGAAGCTGGGACAGGCAACTCCTAATTGATGGAGGCTATGTGGAGTGAACCATGGTATTCCGGAGCTATTCTTGTTGAGCCTCTCTTGGTCTGTTCTGGAACTCTGTATGATTCTGTTGAGCTAATAGAATAAACATCATTCCCCGCATGGTGCAACTGACTATTGAACTCTGTGCCCAGATCAACATCTCCTATCTATCTCCCTTTCTTCCCACAGTCTTCCTTTGACTGTGCTTGAACCTATGATTCTACTGCATCTGCTTCACAAGGCTGGGACTGTAGTCATGTGTTACCTATTATAGCCCCAGATTCTTTACTAGTTGCCATCTCATGCGCTGTACTAAACACTGGACACATGGAAAATGAATATCAAATAACCCTTGCTCGTATCCTCAGGCCATGCCTGGGATGCTGAGCCACATTCATAGGAAGAGCCCATGACTGTACAGCGCTCTGCGTGCTTGCATGGAAGGGAAAGGTTCCTGAGGCGCGAGGAGACAGAGGAGTACTGGTTGCTGTTTACAGATACGACTCGGAATTCTGTCCACTCTCTCCTCCGATTTAAGACACTTCATGGAGAAGGGGACTGTATTGCATGCATCTGAGGTCTTAGTATGGTCTTTTCTATACTAAAGAAAGATCGTATAAGAAGTGATGGGATCCCCACGTTATGGCAGAGGCAGTAGAGGGGACTCTTCTCCTATCATGGCTGTGGTACTAAAGACGAGAGAGGTAAACCGTTGTTGCTGCCCATGCTTTCTCCACATGGCACTGGCCCAGGCAAGGGAAAGGACAGGAAACCCCTGGCACACTTTGCACATCAGTGAGCATTGCAGGGTAAAACTATGGCTTAACTTCTGTAAGATGTCAAAGAATGCTTAATGTACTATCTTAAAATAACAGGTTGGGAAACCCTCTCCAAACCTACTCCTGCCCTCAAGGACTGCAAAAGCATTTAATATTTTAAATTATTCCCATTTCAGAATCATGACTGATTATTCAGTATTGTGTGGCCCTTATAAAACAGTCTGAACAAATAAGCATTTTTCATTTAGCTACCTCTAAAGAGTTTCGGTTTGGGGCATTGTTAAATACATTTTATTCAAGCTGAAGTCTGGTGGGGTTAGGGCTGGCACCAAGCAGCATCTCATCCTTCTAGAACCAAGCTAGGCTGCCTTACAACCGAGAAGCATCGGGTTCGAGGATGAAGGCAACAGCTTTGTGGACTTTGTGACAAGTCCAGCTGCTTAATCTCTTTGAACCATCTGAGCCACAGCCTTCTCCTCTGTAAGTAAAGGGAATCCAGATGTTTTGCAGGCTGTTTTTTGTTTGTAAGATCTATCACCATATTTCTTCCCATCTGTCTTAGTTAGGGTTTTACTGCAATGACAAACACCTTGATTAAAAGCAAGTTGAGGAAGAGTTTATTTCACTTATATTTCTAGCTAACAATCAACTACTGGGGAACACAGGTCAAGAATCAACAAGGAAGGAACCAGGGGGCAAGAGCTGACGCAAAGGCTATAGGGTACTGCTTACTTGTCTGCTCCCCATGGCTTGCTAAGCCTGCTTTCTTAAAGAACCCAGGACCACCAGCCCAGGGATGGCACCACCTATGATGGGCTGGGCCCTCCCACATCAATCACTAATTAAGAACATTCCTACAGGCTGCCTAGACCTGAATCTAATGGAGGCATGTTCTCCATCGAAGTTCCCTTTTCTCAGACGAATCTACCTTATATCGAGTTGACATAAAAACTAGCTAGCACACCATCCAAGCTGCATTTAAAAAAATGTACCAATAAGACAGAGCAACGAAAACACTCTACCAATTAAACTATGACAGAACACTTTGATGGCCCAACCCAAGGAACAATATCAGCCTGCTATTGCTTTACAGTTTCTGACTTCTGTTCTGAAGAACCTAGCAATTTCTCTGCCTTCAGGTACCAGCTTCATGTGTGATAGGCAATCCCTCTGCATGTATTTCAGTAATAAAACTCGACACACCTTCATTTATTTGTTATGTATTCCTATCTGAGTGCAAATCTCAGGTTTCAGCTTTGCAAAAACATATAAAGCTGTGGTTATACCTTCAGTGTCAAAATTTGCCTCATTGATGATGCTGTTTCATGACTTTTGGCTTACAAGATACATTTTTGCTTCAATGCCAAATTATAGTATAATATTTCAGAAGCTGTTTTAAATAGCAATTAAACTTGGGTGAAGTGATAAAAATATGAACAATCATAGCCAAATACTTACACACAAGACTGCCACATGACCTCCGGTTGTCATAAGCCTCTCTAGACTGTAAAATGTACAATTTAGAAATGTTAGAATTATGGAAAAATTGCATCTCAAAGACACTGGAAAACAGTAACTTAAAGTTTGTCTACATGGGACAGATTCAGACTCCCTGAATGTGGGTGTCAGTAAGGAGGCCTAGGCATACAAATGGACTTTGGGTGCCCATCCCACATTGAGGGATGCTCTCTCAGCCTGGACTCTTGTGGGAGGGCCTAAGGCCCTGCCCTGGATGAAATGACAGACTCTGCAGATCCCCCATGGAGGGCCTTACCCTCCCTGGGGAATGGAGTGGGGATTGGGTGGGGGGGTTGGGGGGCCTAGGGGGAGGGTGGGGGAGGAGGGGAGGGAGAGGGAGCTGGGATTGACATGTGAAGCAAGCTTGTTTCTAATTTCAATAGAAAAATTTGTTTTGGGGAAAAAAGAAATATATCATAATGATTATAAAAAAAAAGAAAGTTTGTCTATCATAGGCTTTGTTCCCAGTGGATACACAACAAATCTTAAGTCTCTTCTCTTTTAATAAGGAGTGACAGCGTGGTGAAGATCAAAAGAGGGTACTTGGTTTGTTGGATTTTAATCTGATTTTTTTGGAGTATAATTCATATTGCAGGAGCTATGAAACCATGACTGGTCTCATGGTTGCAAATTCTATGGCATAGCTTCTCTTTTTACCTCTCACTGAAATGTGTCTTTTGTACCCGGGTCAAGCCTGTCGTGAGTTCCTTCAATAGAAATATGACAGAGATGCTAATATGGTATTTCTAGACTTACTTTCTGGGTGGAATGGAAAATTGTTTCCTTTTCCTTTTTCAAACATCGCCACATACAATCAATAATCCCAGAAGCTACATAGAGAGGCTCACATCGGGGAAAGCTGAGTGTCCAAACTGACACCTACACTGAGCAGTCAGACTACCTGCCCATCATTTGAGCAAAGCACCTGGGCTGCGTATCCGCAGCCCCAGGTTATGGGACAGGGAGTGGAAAAATAAGAGGTCCTTATGAAACCGTTTCTAATTTTCAAAATTATGCCTGAAGAGTAATTGATGTTTGGAGCCTCTGAGATATGGTACAATGTGTTATGTAGAAATAGATAACAAAAAGTGGCTTTGAGCAAGGCTTGCTCTAGAATCTTAAGAAGCAGAACCCGGAAGTGAACTTAGATCCACTGCTTACCGAAGTGAAACCTTCACATGATCATTCAGCACATTGGAGTTACTAGGCTAAACTCAATGTGTGTAGTAAGGAAGTTTAAATTCTAGAGGCTGGTGCTTGGAAGATGTGTCTGCTGTGTAAGTATGTTGATCTGAGCTCAACATTGTAGTGTATGCCTGTGACTCCACTTTCGGGGTCAGAGGTTAGAGACAGGTGGATTGTTGGAGCTTGTGGCCAGCCATCTAGTCAATTGGTGAGTTTCAGGTTCAGTAAGAGACCCTGTCCCCAAAATATGAGGCATTAGAAGACAACCAACATTGACTTCCTGCCTGTACACACAATACATGGTACTACACTCCCCAAATGCTCTGATTCCCTGCACAAGATTGGGTCATGTTAATATTTAGCCCCAGGCTGATGAAGAGGCTCCTAACATCCTACTGCTTCCTGAGGGACTTTAGTGGCCTTAATAGTTATGGGGTGGAGGGTGTCATTTTCATGAGGGGTGTAGCCACTGAAAGAGAGCCTGTGCTTTAGTAAGTAACCTCTACCCTATGCTCATCCCTAATTGAACTTAGTGGGTCACACATTAAAAAAAAACCAACCACCTCAAAACCCCCACCCTCACCAAACAAAAAACAAAGCAATGAGAGTAGAAGGGACACTTACTGAGATGAAAAGGAAGGATTTAAGTGGGCATGGGACAGAGACAAGAAAGGGGAGTGGGGTGAATGACTCAAAATCTGTAAGTGTATAAAACTATCAAACAATGAATAATTTTTAAAAAAGTAAAAGTCACCAAGCATCAAAATAACAACAATAATATAAAGTTAGACAAATTTCTTGGCACATAATGAAGCCTCCAATAAATATGAAAGACAGACAGACAGACCATAAGAAAGAGAGAAAGAAAGAAAGAAAGAAAGGAAGAAAGGAAGGAAGGAAGGGAGGAAGGGAGGAAGGGAGGGAGGGAGAAAACAAAGAAAAAAGACAACTTGACTCTCACAGAAATGTCTTTTGGTGACACTAATGTAATTCATCTTTAAATAATATCTGTTTTCTGGCCAGGTGTAGTGGCACATGTCTTTAATCCCTGCACTCAGAAGGCAGAGTGGATCTCTGAATTAAAGGCCAGCCTGGTCTACAGAGCAAGTTCCAGGCCAGCCTGGGTTACACAGAGATCATCTGTCTCAAACTCCCTCCCCCAATAGATACACGCTGGACATACAATAGAGTCAATAAAAATTACTTATAATGTATTTATACCTACTTAATATAAATTACTTATATTTATATCTACTTGATGTAGAGCTTTTAAAATTAAAACAAAATAAAAACACAAAGGCAGAATTTGGGGCTGGAGAGATTGCTCAGTGGTTAAGAGAACTTCCAGGGAACCTCTGTTTGGTTGGCAAAACACACATGGGCATTTCCCATGCATCTGTAATTCCAGTTCTACAGGATCTAAAGCCCTCTCTGACCTCAGTGGGTACTGCATGCACGCAGTGCACATACATGTAGCCAAGCACACATGCATACACACAGAACAAATGCATCCTGTAACACATATAACATGGTAAAACTTTTCATATTTGTTTAAACTAAAGTTAAGGAGACAGACCTTTTTTTAAATCTCAGAGAAATATACCACACATACATACAGGATGGGATTTATATGTAAGGAAGTGGGAAAAGTAATTGAAGTCTACTTAGCATTGGATTCCATACAAACAACTGTTGTTTCCTTCCTTTAATGATACAGTATGTATACATTTATAATTCTTCCCCACAACTTGGTAGCTGATGACACTGCTTATTTCCTGAAGACAAGCCTCGAAGTAACAGACCAGGGCAAAGTGCGGTAGAACAACGGTAAAAGAGGAAGACAGAGGCCAGACAGGACCAGTCTGCAGGTAAGAGGTTAAGCAAGGAGGCCAACAACCTGCAGTCAGTATCTCACAGAAGAATTTATCTGGATGTCTTAAAAAATCTAAACAACAACCACATTAGATGAATTCGGTTTCTCTACATGGGAAATATATATTTTTATTTCTATTATAAGCCAAGCAATAATCAAATCCCTCTACTTCAAAAGTTCAGTTCTGACAATTTCAATAATCCAAGACAGGTGTTAGAAAGCCCTAGCATCTGTAGGACAAATCTGGCCTACCATATTCATTGTAAATAAAGTTTTATTGGAACACAGCCACATTCATTTGTTTATGCGTTGCCTACAGCCACTTTTCAAATTACAACGGAAGAGTTGAGCATTGCTACAGAGACTGACTCACAAGCTCCAAGTTACTGCTCGCTTCTTTACAAAACAGTGTACAGACCTGTGATAAAACTCAATCTATTACTGCCACATATTTGTTAGGGAGAAAACTTCGAGAAGCTTATAAATTACAAGGGAAAGAGCTGCCACTATTTTCTAAGTATGATCCATTTGTCTTTGCTCAGAAGTTCTGTGAAGTAAGGTAGCAGGACTGAAGTAGTCAGGACCAACAGACAGTACCCATTAATAGTAGCTGGTAGCCGATTGGACAACTGGGAAACAAATAGCGACAACGTGTATCTATTCAGTGCAGACTTCCCATGCTGTAAAGAATAAGTGATGTGTATAACAATAGGATTAAGAGATTTATTTGGGGGTCCTAAAAGAGTAAGTTTGAACAAGATGGAGAACTAAACTGTTGGAGTTTATTCTCAACATTTCTTGATGAAGTATTAGTTATGTGTCGCTATGTGGTGTGAGACTTAAAATTGCTGACATGACCCAGGGTGTAGTGTGTGCATGCTAATATCCATCCACTAAACCCACTCTCCATGTAGCTTTCTGATGCTGGTTCCTGCTCTCAATAGCCCTCTCTTAGATCATTGCATTCGCTCTTCTTTCATCTCTAGCAATCTTACTTCTGCTATAATCTATTCTTTCTCTCCCTATTCATCCTTTTTTTTTCTTACACAGTATTTCCTGTAGCCCAGGATGATCCTGAATTTACTGTGCAGCTAAGGCTGATCTTGAACTCCTGATCTCTCTGTCTCTACCTCCCAAGTGCTGGGATTACATTTGTGTGCCATCAGGGGGATTTGCTGTGGTCAACTTGCAACTCCTTTACCCCAGTAGTATCCCTCCAAGGCTCCTTGTCTTGCTCACCAGCTTACTCCAAGTGTACCCCACCATGGACAAAGGACTGTGGTACAGAGGGAGAGTGAGAACCGGGTGAGAGAATTTTTGCCAGCCACACAGTTGAAATGTTTGAAAGGAAAGTCATGCAACTAACATTATTGCATGAAATAGTATGAAATATTAGCAGGACAAAATATTCGTCAGATTTCATAGGAGAGGACTCACTTACACTTCCTGCTTCTAAAGAGCCTGAAACCTGAACCATGTCTTGCAAGGAAAACGAAATCATGGAGAATTCTAGGAAGTCAATGCTGAGGTTTATCTGCATTTGGGAGCTTCCTGACTCTCTGTTCCTTATGGGTAAACTCAGCACACACGGCAGTATGTGAAGCCCTTTGAATCACAACTCATGTCCTCACACCCATAGTCCTCTCAGAAATGAGCTCTGGCCTAATTCTTGCTGGTGTTTTCGTGACTTGGACTTTTGGGCATGCTATGCCTTTGGTCCTCACACTGCCCATTGTTGGTCTAAGTTCTCCATAGGGCCTAGCCATGGGGCTCTCTCACATTGTTTGGTTATATGTAACATTGCTAGTCAAAACTAACACATACTTTTTGTCATATCTCATTCATGGGTCAGGTCCTGCTTTTCTATGCTGGTCTGAAGCCAGAAAATAAGTGATCTGATGACAGGTTCAATATTAAGTTGTTATGGG